CGGTTTCACCGTGCTCTCATTCACTTCCTGAGACGAAGCGTTTGTGCCTTGCTCTGCGCCTTTCCTGCAGATGTTCGACTCTCTGTGCGCTCTTTGGGTAGGACGGTAGGTTGCCTAAATGCACATGAGATTAGAGACAGAAATTCCCCATCACTGAAACGGCTCACTATAGAGACGGAATAATTGGAAGCCCCCTCCCTCCCCCCCTCTCTCTCTCGTCGTTCAAGGGGCAGAACTGGTTGCCCACCTACTAGGCGGACCCATATTCACTATAGTTTTGTTCTATACTGTTACCTCTTCCGTTATTTTAATGCACTTCGCTCAGCTACCCCGTGCATAATGTTAACGCACGGGGCCCTACGTTTATCGAGGCAATCGAGGGCCTCCCTCACCTTCGATCGCCGTCTTGGTGTGTGTCGAGTGCCGGGTCGGCGCCGAGTGTGTTGTCCGGCAGTGCGGGGATCATCGCGGCCCTCACCGAGACCCTCGCCGCCAACGCCTCGGCATTTATTCATGCGGGGCTGCTGCCGGGGGCTGCGCCGGCCTCGAGGGTGCTCGCCCACACTCGCCAACTTGTTTGACTGGCCGGGCCGGCCTTCTTCCTTGGGTCTAGCAAAGGTCCAGGGGAGGGGAGGGGGGGAGGGCTCTCTCCCGAGGGAGGGGCAGGGGGACAAAGCCTGTAGAAAAGGCCCGCTCCCGCCCTGAAAGGGTAGACTTCTACTGCCTTCCTTGTCAGTGCGTCCGTCTCGGCTCGTCCTGTAACTGTTGCACCTACCCCCCCCCCCCCAACACCTCCCGCACCTCCCGCAAAACTCCACACAAGATCCCCCCGCAGGATGCTCTGCAGGACCGCACCCTACGGCCGCTCTCTTGTACCCCTCTCTTCCTCCTCTCTCAGCCCTCCTCTTCCCTCTCCCCCTTCCTTTTGTCTGTCCGGCCGTTGCCGGACCCCCCTCGGGACCAGATCCCTCGCTGTGAAAGGGCCGCGCGGCAACGCACGGGGGAAGGGCTAAAAGGGCACGCAGAAGAGCCGGCCGGGCCGGCGGCCGCAAGCGATTACCCGGAAGAGGAACGGAAGGGAAGGGGATTATGGCGAGTTTGTATCCTGTCCTGTCGCGCCCCCTGTCGCCACCCCGCCTTTGTTCCGCAGTGACGCCGCCCCCG